ACATTGCAGAACTGGAATTCATATATAATAGGCTGCAATACATAAAAAGAAAATGATTAAACCCTATCTCACTTATCATAGATCTTTTTAATAGGAACAAAATCCGCACCATTAGTTCCAGACCAATGTATTTCCCATTCACAATGCTTTAGTGCATAACTTATAAATCTCTCCTCATCATCCTACATTACTTTTTCAAAGCAAGACTAACATCAAGCAAGACAGGAGGAATGAAAGTCAATGAAGGTCGACAAGACAATCCAATTATTAGAGATTCCACGAAGAACGCTACTGTGATTTATGAAAGAATTGGCTGTGGATTTCTGTGTCATTACGGACAGGAGTCATATTAGTAGAGTTGTAGTCTATTTTCTATGGTAATCTGCCTTAGGTCTGTTTTAGGTTACTTACATCTCATCTGTTTCTGTAGTATGTCTGAGTGTCCGTTGGTCATACTCTGCTTAAAATATCTTCCAAAAGCCGCCTTTATAATTCAGATTTCCTTTGCCTCTCCTGTTTCTCGAGCGGAGGAGGTCTGGGAGGAAAAAGTGTACAGTTACACGTTAGCCACAAGCAGAGCTGGGGTTACATAACCATGGCATGCCTGCTAGGCCCAGTCTGCCTTGCGTTATTTCATCAGGCACTTTTCCTTCGTTTGTGCTGCAGAATAGGTCACCCCTTGGGAGGATAGAAAACCTCTGTACAATAGGGGAAGCTACTGTTTCTGGGACCTGTTTATAGCAGAAACAGCTGCCTGTGTAGGAGCTTCGATATAAAATTGCCAATGTGTGTGTATATCTATTAAAAATATATAAGCCATTTTAATAGCATTTTAGACAGTTTTAAGCTTCTTTGTTTAGAAATGAAATGCAGTATTGTTTTGTAGCAGCACAGAAATAGCAGGTATGCCAGCATAAGGATGTAGGCAGGTAAGGTCGGTATGTAAGTGAGCTTGGCGTTGTAGCTGATAAAAGAGAAAAGGGTCTAAAAATAAACAGTAGTTGCTCTCAGTCTCAGAAACTAATCCTAGCTCTGCTTCTCTTTTAGTTCTGTCTGAAACTTATCTGTTTCCCCTCCTCTCCCCGCCTCCCCCTGCCACTTTACAAATAAGTGTAATGAAAAAGATTGCTTCTTAAAAGCATTGTTTTGTTAGATTTTTGGCAGCATGTGAGAACCAAGATTCAGATTCAGATTACCGCTGGTCGATGCGCTTAGCTATACAGTGCTATGTGGTGCTTATAAACCGAGTCTGCCCCTGTTTACTCCCCTGAGACAAACTGAGAACAAACAGCCAAAGTACCAACTGTAAGCTTTTGCACTTCCAGCTTCATATCCAGTATTGCCTATATATCCCATATTTGCCCTCTCAACTTCGTATCCCATCTTACTCAACTTCATACCCTATATTCTTTTCATGAAAAGCAACTGTTCTTCTCATGAAGCAGCAGGCATGTGTGTATACATGTAAAAATAGGTATGTTCTTCCCCACTAAAACAATCAGAGGAGAATGTGGTCATGTGTTAAGAGTAGCTCACTAAATAAAATATGAGGTGACCTCTGATACAAGATGGGTGGATGGGCACCATAATATTAAAATAACAATTGTTATAAATGACAATGGAGCTGTAAAAGAAATTATATACTACTTGTACTGGTATAGTAAAGATTGCAGACTGTGAGATTACAGTGCTGATTATGAACTTTTTTAGCGTGTTTCTTTTTAGAACATCAAAATAACTCCTACAGTTACTGGTGTTTCACTTGCTGACAGCAAAGGAACAGGGTCTATTACTGAACGGCGCTTAAAGGCATCAACAGTTTCAATGCATTGCTTTTATTTATTTATTTATAAGCCAAAATTTAAGAGCATTTGTCTGCAATAGCAAAATGCCTGTCTAAAATTGTTATATCTACCACACTAAATGTAAGGCATATTCAGGTAATACCGCACCACTTTTGACAGGCAGTAAATAATTTTTGAAACCTGAAAAATTGTAAGACTTGTATGGTGTATAGAGAGAATGAAAAACTTTTTCCTGACCAAACAGATGTTGAACCTCTAACAAACGTTGAAAAGTTTCCCTGCCAATTAGTAAGCTATTCAGTGCTGATGTCTGTAACCGTAATAATTTTATTATTATGTTTTAATGAGCCCCAAATATGTCACTTGTATAGAATAAATTATTTGTTTTTTTTAAGTTTTAAATTCTGCAGTAGATCTGTGATCATAGACATTTATTCCATTCTTTGTTCACTAATGCATTTCCTTACTACCTAATGCAAAGCTGTCTGAACGAAAGAAAAGACTAAAATTCTCTGTGAAGAGAGGAGGGGAAGATTGTAGCAGGGTGGTCCTCCTATCGCATTAGCTGTACAGAGGTTTCTTTTATTTTCTGTAGAGAGACTAGTGTGGTCAAAAAGAAAGGACTGAATTTCTTTTCCTCTATGCCTAAATTTTAAATTTTCCTGAGCGTTCAGAAACCATTTTTATTTTCCCCCAGTGCTGTGAACAGAGACAATCTGACACGCTTTGATTTTTAACAGCATTTTGAAAGCCCTTTAGTAGTCAGAATCTTCCCAAATAGCTGGGGTGGCTGTTGACTATAGTGAAAGGCATGTGCAGAGATGAAGATCTGCACCTCTTTGAGGAAAAACAAGGAAGAAATCTCATACACTGGCTACTTGATGAAGTAAGTAGACTGGTGACATGGGTCTATAGAAACAAGAGGTGATCGATACCCCCCGTTTTTTTTTTATCTGGTTGAATGTTTTTACCTGAGTTTGTTCCCTCTCCTTTGGACTCCTTTTCAGTTTCAGTGGTTTCTTAGTACCCCGCGCCAAGGCACACTTTTTGCTGGAAATCAGCCAACATGTAACTACAATACTTTTGATCTCTGAGAAATGGTTGCTTTAGAGAAAACCGTGTTTGACCTCCCACCGTCTCCAGCAACCCCACACCAGAGGCACTGGGATGTGGCGTCTCACCTAAAGCCCTCTCCGCACCCCTCAGCTCTGAGGTAGCTTTGCAAGCGTGTGCTGGGCGAGCGCGAGGCCTTCCCGCGGCGCCATGTCACGTGCGGCCCGCGCACCACGGCCAGGCCTTAGGCTAGGCCGAGCCCAGGCCTGCGTGGCCCATGCGCCACAGCCGGGCCTTGGGCCAGGCCGAGCCCAGGCCTGCTCGGCCTGCGCGCCACAGCTGGGCCTTAGCCAAGGCCAAGGCCAGAGGTGGTGCTCTGCCTATGCCTGGATTCACGTGGGGCTCCCTCGTGGACTTGATAACTCAAATCCTCTGTTTTTTCCTCCTGTGAAATCAAGAAGACGTCCTTGAAAGCCTGGGGCGTCCTCAGGCTTTTGGGATATACAGTTCCACACACAGCGAGATGTTGCTCGTGCTTTTTTCCTGGGAAGCACATGTTCTGTCCCAGAATCAAAATAGGGTTTTGCATTGCTGTCATTTACCTTAGAAATACATCCTGCTCTAAAAAAAAAAAAAGGAAAAAAAAAAAAAAAAAAGGAAGTGTGGAGGTGTTTTAGGGGTATCCATAATAATAATTTTATACTTTTTTTATGGTTATTGAATGCTTAGTAATAGAATTAAATAGGCCAAAATTTAGATTTTGGAAATTCAGCTATGTCTAAATACAGCACTCAGCGGGTTCAAAAACCTGCCCATATCCAGCTTCTGAACAACTCCAAAAATCGTTATTTACAGCGTGGTTGCCTCTTCTCCCTGTCTGCTCTTTTCGCCCAAGAACCTTTGCTCCTCTGTCAGTGAGGGGCTTCTGAAGAAGGATCAGCACCTGCGTTGATGGCTACGCGTCACAGACATGCAAGCACCCGGGCTGGTTGCTGAGCCTTGGAGGGGACCCCGTTGGCTTCCCGTGGTTTAGTGAAAACACATGTTGTGGCGTCAGCTCTTGCCTCTGCTGTGCTCTTCAGCAACACTGGCCTGTGTTCCTGTGTTTTTATTTAACAAACCTGCCAGTCCATTGTGGGCGTTTGCAATACAACATTGGATGTAAGGGCATAAGCAGTTAGATTTAACACAAAATAGGAGTCAGCACGAGTATGGAAAAGAGGAAAAATAGTCTTTATAAACATTAGAAATGTGATGTGTGATTGACGTGCTAGGACTCGGTATTTATCTGTAACTTCAGGAAAACATGAAAGTGTTTGTAGTGGAAATTAACACTTAAAGAGAAAAAGTAAACAGAGTGTTATCTTTTTAAATATTTAGTTTACCTGCCAAGTGTTACATTTATGCAATATGTGGTGCTTCACAGCTAGTAAATTTTATTTTAAAACCCTAATTATAAAACAAAAAGAACTGGAAAAACAGATATATCACAATAGTAAAGGTAACTGTCAACTAGTAACTGTCACATGATTGTATGTTACCATGAGATACTAGTTTTGTGTGGGAATAGGCCAAGATAGTATGTTTAAGTTCAAAATGGTTAATAGATTGTAGTATGGCTTTGGTTTTTTTTAATTAAAAATGGAGTATAAAATATAAAAAGATATATATATATAAAATACAATATAAAAAGATACGGTACAGTTCAAATTCAGTGCAGTCGATGGGTATTGTGTGCATCTGTGTAATGGCAATACCTGACATTTTTTGATGGTTGCATATAATCATGTGAATGATAAAAGGAAGAGACTTCCGCTTTAATCTGCTGATAAACAGAACAAGAATATTTGAATTTCAGAGGACATCGTTCTGGCCACTTCTTTTTGGAGGAAGAGAATAATAAGAAGGCCCTACTCTCTTTCAGGGGTGATCTTTTTTTCTTTCTTATCCCTCTATGAATGCACGTGCATACTTCATGCCTACTTCATGTTTTCTTTCAAACTTTTTGATAATGATAATAATAAAATTATTTATGACCAGTTTGCCTGAGAAACAGCTAGGACTTTTTTTTTTTTTAACTGAGAAAAAGATTAGATTTTATTGTGTGTATATTCATATCACCCATTCTTTTTTTTTCAATAGGTAACAGATCAGTCAGTAAAAGCATTTGCTGAACATTGTCCTGAGCTGCAGTATGTTGGATTTATGGGCTGCTCTGTTACATCTAAAGGAGTCATTCACCTCACCAATGTAAGTACTATAGCTACTTTTAGCTTGTTGTTAGTATTTGTGACAATTGCCAAAATATAGATATAAACAAAACTAAATTTATACATTTAATGAATAACCCTGTTATGAATAGAGCCATGGCAGGATAAATGAAGCTTGCATCTTTCAACAAAAGTGTTCAGATTTTTCTGCTTCAACTCCTTTATCATAAATGTGTTCAATGGATGGTATTTCTTGTGAGTAATTACAGTACTATGTATGTCAATCATCTTTAAAATGCCTAGTTACATGAGATTCAGTTGCCAAAGTTCTATAATTTGTGTTGCCAATTAGACAGAATTGCAAGACTATGAGGCAGGAATCTTAGAGAATTTATCCCATATGTATGTAAATTTTGTATATATTCACCTCTGTATTATATGTGTATATATCTATATGTGCATTTTATTTCCTTTTCATTTTCTTTACTTAAGAGGAGGGATTAGTGGGAGAACTGCCTTGTTTGACTCCAGAAATTGATTATATTGAATGTTTAAATTAATGGCCTAGATAAGTTGGACAAACAATTTTAACAAATTTTATTTAAATATGGTTAATTAAAGTTAAGAACTGAAACAAAACTGGGAGATATGCAAATATAAGGGAAGACAGAGGATGTAATACATCTGTAATAGATGTATTAGTATTTATAACTAGGAAGTAAAAAAATTGGGGAATTGGAACCTTCCATTACCAGTAAAGATGATAGAGACCATATTGAAAAAAAGTACTATGGCTGGAGAAAATTCAAAGGTTTTTGATGGAGAACTGCAGCCCTCTTGTCGTGATAATGAATTCAGCATAACTTTAATATATATTGATTTGTTTAAGGCAAATTAGTAATTGAAAATAGGGATAAATGAAAATAAAATCAGAAAAACTCTGGAGAAATTAACTTCTATGGTAAAGTAACAGTAACTCCAAGGATCTAATTTGGGAAGAATTTAAAGGATACTGAAATGACACGAAGATGTTTGAGAGACATGTGTATCTGTGGGAGGGAGAAGTAATACAATAATTTTCATGTCCTAAATAATTCAGTATGGACTGTGTTTATATGCACGACATAGGAGACAAATAAGTTAGTCTGACAGAGAGCAGTTATGTAGTCTAAAGTAGTTTGGGAAACTGCAGCCCAGATCATCTTTCAGCTGCATGCTTGAGTTACTGGATTAATCCAACCTAGACTTGCTGGGAATTAAATACGTGATCATTATGGCCAGTCCTTCAATGAAGTGACTTCAGTGAATTACATGATCCTGGGAAGCTATGAAAAACCAAGAGCTTTATTTTCTTATTAATATTTAGTTCTGATTTTGATGTGAATTAGTAATAAATGATGAGAAATCATGAATGGGACTGACACAGCTGTAGATTGTGTTTCGGAATATATCTGGGAGTCAATTGTGTCCCCAAATGGGAGAAAGCCATATGGGGTAGGTGGGAGCTGTAGATGGTTTTTCCTAGAACATGAGACAGGAATTCCTGTTTCCTTCTCTTGAGCCGCAGCCATAGAAACTTAAGTCATTAATACTGCAAAGACAGCGATGTGACAGCATCACACTTTTTTTTTTTTTTTCCTTTTCCTTTTTCTACTTTTCTTCCCCCTGCCCTTTTTAATTCAGATGTGTTCAGGGAATTTGTCACTGAATCCTGAAAAACTCTTTTCTTGTAGCATTTCACCTATTTTTAGTATTAAGTATTTTTTTCTTTAGTTACCCTCCTTCTCAAGGTGCTGTCTTATGCTGCCCCAATGCATTTTTTTTCTGATGTATGTAAGAATTTTTTGGTTTGATCAAATACTGGTCAGGTTTATTGGTGTAGCACTTGAAACAGCATTTTTCTTAACTGGAATATTGTTGGGGAAAAGTGTGTCGTGCCTACTTCAAGTTTCATGCTGGACTAAAAGCACTAATTCTGAAATGTCTCATGTTTCTGAGTAAACACATTTAACAGATTAAAGGGATTTTTTTCCTGACTTGCTCCTGAAGGTGTAATATAAATTAGAGTTTTTACACGGTTGAAGCATGTTCAAGAAAGATCCTCCATATCCTGTATATATTTTTAAAATTATACTTTTTATGGACAATACATCATGCCTTCTCTGATCTGAGTATTATAATGAAAATATATTTCTTTACTGTTTTTGCTTCCTTCAGCAGAGGCCTTTAGTGCAATGTAGGGAAATATGCTGATGTCATATGCTGAGGGACAAAGAGCAGCGAAGAGATTTGCCCAGGCCTGCAGCAGGAGAGGAGCAAAGGCAGTACTAAATTCTGGTGTCTTCATTCAGAGGCTATTGGCAGGTGACTCCTGGTCAGTCTTGCTGCAGCAGCTTTACTAGCTGTTGGGCTGCTCCTCTACCAGGTGTTACTGCTTCCCCATAGCAGAGCCTCTGAAATGCCCTCACATGGCCAGCCCAGAGGCATATTATATTTCTACAATTCCTCTTTAGAGCTCAAAAACCTTTAACAGAGGATGATAACAAATCTCTAGGGAGCAGTAACTTTCTTAACTCCATGAGTTCTTTTTCCAGAATCCATGTGTTAATGGCATTATTTTGTTAATGCTGTCTGCGCTTTGCTTTTCTTTAAACATCATACATTTCTTTTAATGATTGGTTTTATGGTCAGTTCACAACTGGTACTTCGTAAGTGCTTGGTATTAATTCCAGTTCTCTGTTCCTATCAGATCTGAAATCTGTTTTGAGCCCTGCATGGCCTGCCTGAGCTCTCCTGTCCCAAGTTAGTTCTCTTTGGTCCCTCTGCTTCCTCCCTGTAAGCAGGCGACAACAGCACTGTTTATTTTTATTATTTTTGCTCCAAAATATTGTGACATTAAAAAAAAAACTTCTTGAACAAAAATATTCTCTAATGTCTTTTATTCATTGAAACTGTTATAAACTATAAAAAAATGCACCTACAGTAAAAAATGACTACTGGGTAAGTGGAGAAGTGCTGCGTATAGGTATAGAAAAGAGGAGAGAGTAAGTGCAAAGGTCATTGTGATGTCGGGAGTTTAGGTAATTGCAGTGAAAATGGAATGACCAGACAAGTGATTTTTTTCTTCTGATTTTTTTCATCCTATATTTTTGCCTGGCCAAGTAGACTGTATTATCTTTCCTTCTTGTGTAGATGCCTTTCAACATTTTAACTGTTGCCTTTCTTGCTGCATTTTAAGAACCAACATCAGTGAATCTCTCCCACCATCTAGACGTGATTTTGTTTCCAAGCTACTAACGGCTTCTTCATTTGAGTTCTGACATAGGGACTAGAGTATTGCTTTGTAGCCATGTCCTTCTGTCGGTACTTCTGTGCGATATCCTTTTTACAGAGGACACCTGAGTGAAGTGTTTTATATACATTTTCTTTAAAACGAGCATGAAGCCTGATTAGACAACAGCTTGACAGAAAAAAAATTCTAACTTGTTTCTCTATTCCCAGTACAGGAATGCAGTTTATCGAAGAAATCTGGTATTGGGATAATGTTATCTTTAGTCTTTCTTGGTCTCATAATACTGTTACCTGAGGGCCGTGTCCAGTCTACTCAATCATATTTGTGTCTGACTTGGTGACCAGTGTGAAGTCAATCAAAATTTAGATTTATAGAGCAAATATTTGGGACTCATTCAGTGCAGAGATATATAGTGGTAATCTAAGCATGGCTAGAGTGATCCTGAAAGTGCCTCTTCTAAACTGAGTTACCATATGCTACCTTTTTGTCAGTTACTGATTTATTTTGACACAAAGTACTCTGCCTTATACTCTTTTTATAGTAATATTTGAGTATATTTTCCAATCTTAAGATCATCCTGCTTTTGAAACAAGAGCATGATTTGGCTAGGTCAAAAGAAAAGCAGCCTCTTTTGTTTGTCTGTTTTTGTATTTTTAATCAATCTTAAGAAATTACACTCCTTAACATGTATTTGTATTAGCTGTCCTTTTAGACACAAGTCCATTTTTCCCAATTGTGACATAGCCACATAAAGGTTATGTCAAATATGGTTTTCTGAGCATAGTAATTTCGGAAGATTTGGTGAAAATAAACTTACTTACTTCATCTTGTCTAACTAAACCAGACTACTTTGTTGCATGGAGATGACTTTGTCCATCTTAAAAAAGTGTGGGTTTTTTTTTTTTTTTTGCCAGTGTAAGGTATTAATAGTTTCCGCAGGGTGCACATTGAGTAGAGAAAACATTATAAGGAGGCTTGCTTGCAAAACTGAAAAGGTTTTGGTGCTCTGTGGGTTTGTGAAAATTTCCAAAACAAAGTGCTTCATCAGATAATACTTGAGGGGAAAAATAAAGTGTGATTTTTAGCAACAGCACAATTCATCAGCAATTTTTATTTTCAGGCTATAAACTCCAAATCTTTTAAATCAGATGCTAGATTAAATGTAGTATGTGTGCAATGAATTTTTAGCTCTTCTACAGAAGCCTGTAAAACACTTTAGAAAGGAGGTCAGTATATTTGTTTTAGTAGCATAGCTTGTTTATGTTTTCAGTAAATCAGAAAACAAATTATTATCATCAGTGAGCTTGGAAGCAGGAGCAATTTGAATAAAAATGTCTTTCATTTTGCTATTCTGCTTTACTAATTTGCATTACAGAATAAAGAAATATATTGAATAAATTTGTTTCATTACTAAATGTATGTCTTCAGTTTCTTTTCTTCTTAGGCATGGATTTTTTTTAAAATATAGCATACCTACACTCTTCCAAACAAACTGACTTGCTTTACGTAAGTGATGAAAATTCAAACGCTTTCCAGTACTTAAAACACAGGGTTTAAACCATTTCTGAACCTTTTCATATTTAATCAATGGAAGCTCCATGTTCTGTGATATTTAAGGAAACAAATTGAAAATTGTGAATGTGGAGAACAGGAAAACAGACTGAGGGAAAATAGCCTTTTAACTGTTCAGTAAGTCTCCAGTTCTTTAAATCATGTATGATTACCATTTCATGTGTATATTAATAGTA